CCCACCCGCCCCATCTCGCAGCGTGCTGAGGACCCCCCTGTGCGGCACAGATTGGAGGCCACAAGGGAGAAGGGGAGTGGGAGACGGAGGACAAGTTCGACGAGGTTTCGTTCACCTCCCTCCTGACCAGCACCATCCTGTCGGTCGGCGATGACGAAGGGGTGGAACTAAGAAAGAACCCTTCCAACTGTGAGGGAGAGCCAGCCACGACGAGTCGCTTCTTTTTCACGTCGTCTCTCTAGCAACAGTCAGTGGCACTTTTGTCTTGTGTGCTTTTCGTTCAGCCGGCGTCCCGGTGTGTTGGCCAGGCTGATGTGCTCGTCTCCCCACATCAAAGTGAAGGGCACGACGGCCGTGGTGGGATTCCAAGGACTTGAGCGCAAGTGAAAGCAGCTGTTGCTGACGTCCTTCGGCCATCCCTTCATCGCCTACATCATCATCTCACAGTTCGACGGCGAGAGCACAGGCAAGCACTCTTTCGTCAGAAGAACGCCACACATGGCCGCCTGGAGGCGCATATCACTTCCCTATTGACTCTCTGCCTGTATGCATTTATTTCTGGTGCATGTGCAGTGCACGTGTCTGTGGTGACGAATGAGGAGCCGGCAAATTGCGAGCTGGTATGCGTTCACACTGACAGTACATGCCTGTGTCAACTGACATGCACCCGTGCCATTCTGTTCGCTGTGCCGGCGTTCAGGTGCCCCACTCTCTCATGCCTTCGCCACCGACACGGCCGTGGCTTGCAACCTCCGGCAGCGTATCCATGCCTGTCTTTTGTCCTCTTGTACTCTTGGCTCAATGTCCTTGTGTGGCTGCTCTGCTTTTAGGATCTCCTTGGCCGGCAAGGGCGCGACGGACCCGTCCAAGCAGCCAAAGCCCTCTGGACATAGTGCAAAGGTATTTATGAGTAATAGGCGCCCACGCTCTGTATTTGTATCCTCCCGTTAAGCGTTGTCGTATCCGTCGTCGTCGAGAATCGAAACACCGAGCAGCAGGGGTCCATTTTTTGGGGGGTACACAGAAGGATGATAACATGTGAAGTTGCCAGACTTGCTGTAGGCGCAGAGGGAGTCTACTCGAAAGTTGCACACTCAACATAACTGGAATATTATTAGTAATCGTCGTTTGACAGTATTTTCCGCTACCATTGTCTGTGCAGACAAAAGGACTGGCACAATGTACGGCGAGAACAGAGAGAAAGGGGTGATTCAGATTTTGCAGAAGCTGCACGAACACGGCGGCGCAAGGTGACGGTAATGCGTCACATGTTCGGTTGAGTTCTCATGCGCCAGGACCAAGTCTTTTGTGATCTTGGGTCCGGGGACGGTGGCTTTGCTGGTGGGACTGATCTATGAGGGGGTTGCCTCAGATTATTGTCGGCTTTTCCCGCTTCTACCCATCGAAACATGTCCCCTACGATCTTCTGCACCACTGGGGACAAAGCGTGTGTCTCTATATCATCAGCTGCGGCCTTTTCATGACCGAGCCGATGGCTTCGATCATCTCGCTTCTCCTCAAGCCGATCCAGCGCTTCCGTAAGCTCACTCACCTGGCCTGACTGGCTTATTCGCGCTTGCTACCTCTGACGTGCGAGCTGGCTCCTAAGGCCGGCCGACACGACAACGGCGACGTCCAGGTATGAACGTGTTTTGATGTTTTGAAGGAACCATAACATTGCTGGCTCTGTTCCTTTCATTCATCCCTTCTTCTCAGCGATCAGGATCTCGACCTTATGCTCAAAGCGGGATGAGCCTTGTCTGCGTCTAAGTATGTTGTGAACAATGGCGGGACTGCAGGGTATGTGCACCAGGTGTAGGAATATTGTGTAGCCCTTTGAGGGTTGGCAGTGAAGATATCAGCCCCATATCTCTTTTTTGCAGACCTGACGAGGTTTTATCGGATGTCAGCGACTTTCCTCATCATCTCTATCCCACTGTAGGCTCAGATGAGGCCTTATATATACATAGGGCCGATTGGGGAATGTCAGTTTGGACTGTCTGTTCTGACGTGTCTTACGGGCGCCTCGTGCCGAAAAAGTTCTGCAATGTCCAGTTTAATGATGGCATCACTGAGTGGTGTGAGAAGGTCAGCATTGTACACGCAACGGACACGGTGCAGTGGAGCTTTTGGTGTGAATTGATTGTGTCGCAGCGGGATATCATGGCCATCCCCGACCCCAACGACCCCATCAACCTCAAGATGCACGACATGCTGGCGTGCAGCAGCAAGACCCCCAAGGCACCGGTCACATGCAGGCTGTGTGGCGAACAGCTGCAGGTGCGCACGGTGGAAGGGCGTGGGAGCAAGCTGTGAGGTAGGCTGTACATGACATGTCCCAAGAGGGCGTGCAACGACACACGGTAACAGTTTGTGTGTACGTAGCTTTTGCAACACACTGTAATTTTGCTACAAATCGACATCCAGTTTACCGTACGCTTATGCTATTAGAGACACGCAAACAGTACCAGTTACTGGAGACACGCGAACAGCTATTCTTCTTCTCCCCATTCAGTGAATGCTGTTTTGTCGATATCGGTGAATTCGTCACCAGTCCTCTGCCAGAAGACGCCACGAAGCTGTTTCTATCTCAAGGCGCTACACATTTGATCGGGGAACGTGTATGTGGTTGTATTTCTTGCGTGGACTCACATGAGAGACATGCAGGTATTGGATGTCAGGGTTAGCGTCTTGCGTTGAGTTGCTGAAGGCAAAATACGTGCTGCTGACGTATTGGCCGAGATACACACGCCATGTCCGTGTGTTGAATAAAAATGACACCACACACAATACCTTACCACCACACACGACACACAAAGCCAATTGGGACAACCCCAGCACAGACACAACGAACGCAGCTCGGTAAGGAAACGAACGGGCACAAAAAAGACCTGACACCATGGGCCACGCCACGGAGAAGTCAGCCTTTAATGCGTACGATAAAGAACAATCAATAGGCATCGACGTTCGAACGAGAAGGCCACCCATCGATATATCTATACATATTCACATCTCAGTCAGTACTGCTGGCTGATGTCCTGTGGTCTTGCGAATGATGGCCTGACGACCGCCTTGTTGGCCTTAGACAGTGGCGGCTGCGATGCGGGTGTCATGGGCCGCTCGACGCTGCTGCTGGTGGTGCCTGATGCATGGACGAAACACAATCTCAGGCCTACCTACAGGTGCTTTCTTCTTGCAAGAGAGTGCCTGCCCTGCCCACCTACTGCTTTGGTCTGTGATGCTTCGCGTGACTGCTGCTCCTGCTGCGGCCGGCGACGGTGAGGGGTCCGTGGTGCTCTGAGTGGATATTCGGTCCATCATCGTCACTGCACAATGCGCACCACACACACATGCAGGTGGGGATTTATTTCTGTGTGTGCATTCATTCGTCTGTGCGGGAGTGCGGACATTTGGCTGTGTGTATGACGTCAATGGACTTCGGCACGGCGATCCGCTGACCCACACAATCGCTGCCAACACGAACGCATCGACACACACACACAGACAGACAGACAGACGGACAGACATCCGCGGCAGATGTGTGTCCGTGTGTGTGCACTCGTCAGTCAGTTGAGCAGCCGACGTGATTTGCTTGATGTGTGTGTCGGTCAGCTGCATGGTCGGCCGAATGTCATTCAGGTAGCCGAACACCTGCATGCAGAGAGAATTCACCACGCCACGCGTAGCGTATGTGTGTGTGGGCTGCACTGCACACCACTGTACCTCATCAGCAGTGGAGAGAGAGGAATGCAGCAGCTGCACACACACACACACACACATACAGAGAGAGAGAGGGTCACTGTACTGTAGACACGTCTGTGGGGGGGGGGAGGGGGGGGAGGGTACCTACCAGGAAGGCCACAGTGACGGCGATGCAGTCGGAGAGGCCGTCACTGTCATACACCAACACACCTGACCACACGCACACACACACAGCCAACAGGCATATGAATCCATCACATCCAGGAACACGCACCTACCTTTCTTCTCGCCCAAGGCCTTGACCAAAATCGAGAGACAGTCCTTCAGAGCACTGCACACACACACACACATGCACATCTCTCTCCGAGCATTTCTGTGCGTACCTGTCTCCCTGCAGACAGTGGCTCTGCGTGTGTTCCGCTATGGGGCCCGCATAAGGCTTGCTGCTCGTGTTGATCGACACAATGTGCCCAATGGGGGGCACAAAGTGGCTGAACTGTGTCTGACAGATGGAGGGAGGGACAGAGAGAGAGAGAGAGAGAGAGGTAGCCATGCGTCTGTGTGTGCGTGTGTCTGTGTGTGGGGGGGGGAGGGGGGTGTGCACAGGGTAGGTACCCATCTGTTGTTAAAGACGGCCTCCGAGCAAACATACAGACAGAACGATTGGCGCGACCTGTCCGCCCACCCACAGACACAAAGCATGTTCATAAATTCAAGTGCGATGGTTGATTCACACGCGTAGCACACGGACCTGCTTGTAGGCGGGACGATCTCTGCAGGGTAGATCCACTTGGCGCCTGTCGACCGCCGCGTGATGCCTGCGTCCATCCATCCATCCATCCATATGAGTGGGTGTGGTGTGCACTTGTGTGTGCGTACTGTGTGTGGCGCTCTTGTCCGGCGCTTCGTCGTGAAAGGTCTTCAGAGACCTCACGCCATTGCTGCCTCGCTCCTGGACACACCAACACCCAACCCACATACACACACCACGAAATACGAATGTCGATCCTCCCTCTCTCTCCCTCTCTCTCTCTCTCTGTGCCTGTCTGCCTGCCTGTACACCCACACTGTGTGTGTGTGTGTGTGTGTTTCGTCACCACGGAGATCATCTCCGATTTGCCCTTTGGTGGCAGGATGCTGTCGGATTGTAGCGCTGCTGGTGCAGACGAGCTGACGCCGACGCCGCTGGAGGCGTTCTTGCTGCTCTGGCTGCCGGTGGACAGCCGACCTGCACGCATAATGACACACACATATCGCAAGTCTTCCCATATGTGAGTGAGTTTTGTGTGCGATCTCTCTGTCCGTCTGTCTGTCTGTGTGTGTGTGTGTCTGTGTGACCTTCGCTGCCCATGAATGCCCATCTCAGTTGGAACGGGGAGGAGAGCTTGGCCGCCGGCAGACCGCCTTTCATGATCCACAAACACGACGGCGACATCAGCGACCTACACACACACCCACACACACCCACACACACAGATGTCTGGATGCACCCATGGCTACTTCGGTGGTGGACAAGCTCAGCTCACCGCTCGTGTGCCCTGTCTGGGTCGAACCCCTGTGTGCATGCAGACACACACACAGGCAGTGCAGTTGGTTGCCAGGATGACTGTCGATGTGTGTGTTGTGTTGTGTGTGGGAGTTCCGTGCCTTGCATTGACTGTGTGGCCCTAAGTCGTCCCTCAGGAACTTCAAAAGCTGCCCCTGCACACCACACAGGAGTGAAACAAACGAGCTATCAATATGTTAAATGTCGGTTGGTTGTTTCTCTCTCTGTCTGTGTGTGTTCTTACCACGACGCCGGTGATCCTCTCGTCGTTCTTCTCCTGAGTTTCCTCCCCGTGAATGATGACCGTGGTCGATGCCAGCGTCTCAATGAAGCGTCCTACAATGCGCAGCGCAGATGTGCGCACACACGCACACACACAGGTGCACACATTTGCGTGGCTCGGATCGGATGCTCCTCTGTGTGGGCGGGTGAAGTGGGATGGGATGGGTGTGCGTACCAGGCACTAATGGCTGCTCCCTTATGTGCCAGTTGTAGGCACCTGTAGAACACACACACACACACACACACACACACATTGGCAACTGCATGTGGATGTGTCTGTAGTAGTGCACGCCCCCACCTTGTATGTGCCATTTGCCGTAATCGAGCGCCTTTCGCGCGTCGATCACAACTGCACGACAGGGACGACACACATCCACGTGCACTCTCTCTCTCTCTCTCTCTCTTTCTCTCGCCTCAACTGTGTGCATGGCTGACCTGGCGGCACAGTTGACGGCGCATTGAGCAGAGAGTACCTGCATTGATCCGTCCAGATCCATCCATCCGCCCACACACATGACTCATGGTTTCCGTTGATGGCGGGCAGATCATCATATCACGCGCAGCCTACACATAGTGGGGCGGGACGTAACGGACTCTGAGGCCCTTGGCCACGCTGTTCCTGTCATCCTGCGCACACACAAAGCCACACAGAGGGAGAGAGAGATATATAAGATGAAGCCAAAGCGAAAGATCCATCCACACATTGAGTAACCACCCTTACCTCTGCAGTCGGCACGGCCACGCGGTGATGCCCACCAGCACCGATACCGTGCTGTGACGACGACGTGCACCCCATCAGAGAGATCTTGCTGCATACCACACACACGCAGAAAGATCCCAATCACGAATGCGTCCAGTCCCGGCAGGTGGCTGTCATGGCACCTGTCTGGCTGCTCCACGCGCGGGAAAGGGCGATGGAGGGAAGATCCGATCGCACCGCGAGCTTGAGCTCGCGACCTGAGCTCGCGACCTGGAGATTCTTTGACTCCCAGACGTATCTGATCCACTCACTTGCACACGGTGAGCAAAGCAGAAAGAGCGAAAGAATGAAAACGCTCATTCATTGATGGTGTCCATTCATCAGCCCATCAGGAGGTGACAGTCGGCCATTCCCGGCCGTTCCCTGCCCTCTCCCCGGCTCTTCGACTCGATGATGACGCCATCGGTGACCCTTTTGGCCGCGGTTCTCTGCGCCGCCTGCACGACGGCGCACGCGGCTGCGTTCATCATCACCCGTCACCACTACCAGATCACTCCTGCGGCCAAACCACTGGTCTCGCCCATCGCGTGCACGTCTGACCCCGACCATGGCGACCCGCGGCGTGGGCGGCTTCCGGTGGAAGGGCCGGACGGTGACGGTGTACAACCACTGGGACAGCTACCCTGATGGCTTGGGCGTCGCACTGGTGCAGCAGCTGGCTTCGGCAATGAAGGATGACCCGCAGCTCACACGGTGGAAGGGGCAGATCGAGAATCTGCAGGAGGTCGACGACGAGGAGCTGTACAAGGCAAGCTGCACCGACGTGTGGCTGAGCGTATCGATGTGATGGTGCCTTTGTTGTTCTGTCTGTGTGTGTGAGCAGTCGCAGACGGAAAAGGTGACAGGTGGTGGCCCTCTGAGCCTGGAGAAGGTGTTGAGCATGGGCAAGTACTGCGACGAAGGGCCAGTTAGTGCGTATGACGACAAAGAGGTCCGTGTCGGACGGAAAGATGCAGACACATTGCCTGTGTGGAGATGTTCCTTCTCTCTCTCTCTCTCTCTCTCTTGCGCCTGCAGTATGGTTACTGGATCGACCTCGACCGAGGCCGCATCGCCTTCGCTGAGCACGCCAAATGGACAAAGAAACCGGAGGAATGCGACAACAAAGGCACCTACTACGACGGCTACTGCTACAGCCACTTCTCCCTGCACACCATCCCCCTCGGCGATGACACGACAAAGGAGGACGTGCAGCGACTCTTCGAGCCGTCGAACCTGACTCCGATGTCGCGCGAAGACATCTTGGAGCTTACTGGCGGCGATGAGGAGAGCTTCGAGAGGGTTTGGGTGTCGATTAGAGAGAGGCTGGGGCTGGGGCTGGGTGGCGAGGCCGCTGCTTGAACGCAGATTGGCGTGTGGCATTTGCTCGTGTGTCTGTGAATTTTGCTGTTGCTGCTCTCTGAATTGATTGTGTGGGTGTCTTCTGCTCTTTTTCTCCTTTCTCTTTCGGTATGCATTGCATTAGGATTGATTGACCGTGATTGACTTTTTGAGTACGTCGGTTGCCGTGAACGCACAGACTCACACACATGACACCTGTGTACGGCACCTCACCTCACGTAACTAACACATAATAATCAGGCCCATCCATTCCATTGATCCATCCATCCATCCATCGATCTCTAGGCATTCATACATAGTGTACACCGGTCCGGCGGTCTCTCTCTCTCTCTCTCTCTCCATCACCCCTTCCCCATCATCCCATCCTCCTTTTGTACACGTACGTACGCACAGAGACAAATACACACATACATACATACACACATACACACACACACACACATGCTCGGCATACACTCACCCTCACAGACGTAATTCTACAGACGAACCGACCACTCACTCACTCAGACAGACAGATCGACAGACAGACGCATACATACAGAGGTCCATCCATGGCTGGCCTGGCTAGATGGACTCGCTAATTGGCAAAGAAATTCGAATCAACCTCTTGTGCCCCCCCCCCTCCCTCCCTCCCTCCCTCCGTGTCTGTCTATCGACGATTGTATGGTGTGCGGTCATCGGTGCTGTGCATGTGCAGGGGGAAGCCGATCTCTGCACTCCACACACACGCACACACTCACACACACCCCCGCATGCGGGCACTCATCCGCCACTGCTCACCGTTGTGGTGTGTGTATGGCCGTGTGGCCTCGCCCCCCTCTGTGCTCTCGCCCCTCTGCAGATACGAAGACATCAACCCACCTGCACACACAAGTCCAACACACACACACGGAGAGAGGAAAATGTCTCTCTCTGTGTGTCTGTGTGTGTGGGTGTGGGTGTGGGTGTGTGGCAGGGTGTGTACCAAAGTGGTCAGGGTTGCACCATGGCGACGCCGATGCCCCCGAAGGCGACGTCACGCTCACACTGACGCTCGGTGCGGGTGCGTGCGGCTGCCGCTCTCTGTTGTTGTCCGCCTTCTTGCTGGCGTTGATATTGCTCGAACGGCGGTCCACTGCACACAATCCATCCATCCATCCATCCAATGAGGTCGATGTGTCGGCAAGACCCTCCTGACTCGACTCACGTGGGTGCTCTCGGTATCTCAGTTGCAGATTGGGCACCGGGCGGCCCTGTGCGCCACCAAAAGGAGATAGAAGCCATGGAGATCGATCGCACGATTGGGCGCGCGGACAGGGTACCTACCTGTATGGCGCACCACTCTCTGTAGTCGTCGTGGATGCGGAGCAGCAGGTCCGCCACCATCCGCATGGCCAACACATAGCCTGGTGGACACACAGAAACACATGGATGGATGGATGGATGGATGGCACCACACAAGCGGACGTACCATCATAGGTTCTGCAGCTGATGCACAGATGCAGCGGCTCGGGGCACTCTGCAGACACACGCAGAGATAGAGAGAGAGAAGGAGAGAGAGAGAGGGAGAGGGAGAGATCAGCATCCATCCGAATGTTCGGTTCGTTCGTTTGAGCGCGTTTCCTCACCCACCTGTCTGTTGGCTGCCCTCATAGTAGCCGCTGCCCCGCCCTCTCAGCCTCAGCTTGGCCTTGGTCATCTCCCACACAGCGCGCATGTGCGAACCCTATAAATGCCAAGGAGGGGGAGGGAGAGAGAGAGAGATGTGTGTGTGTGTGGTTTATTGCGTGCACACTCGCATCTCTCTCTCCCTGTGTGTGTGTGTGTGTGCGTCAGTTACCTTGTTGCCGATGATTCGGCGGGCCACGGTGAACTCTCTCTCATTCTCTATGCCCACCTGCACACACAACATCCACTCACTCACAAGCGCTGTGATGCGTGCCCTTCTGTGCGTGCTGCATGGCTGCATTGGTGCATGCATGCCTCAAATCGCGCCGTGTATTTGCGCAGGGCGGGCGATGGAAACTGAGAGACACACACACATAGCATAGCACCACCATACAGACACATCGTCCTGCCTGCATCTCTTTCCCCCTGAGGTCTCTCTGTTTTGTGCTTGGTTGCCTCATGCTCTTTGGCGAGATTGAGCACAGGATACCCGTCGGCCTCGCGAGCAACAGACCTGCACCACACACACACACAGGGATAATCTCAGAGAGAGAGGGAGAGAGAGAGAGTGTGTGTGTGTGTGTATGTACCGTGGTACAGGGATCCACTCCTTGCCCCCCCTTCTGTGCAGATGTGGCGCGTGTGGATGTCCGTGTGGGTGTGGTTGAGGGTGCGGGGGGCCTGACACTCTGCTGCCAGGATGATGGGCATATGACGAGGGCGAACCGAGATCTACGCACACACACACACACACACACGAATGACATCCACTGACGTGTGCACTCGTTCACTCAGCTCACTTGTGGGAGATGTCGGCCCGGGGCCACCGAAATGCTGCTGCTGCTGCTGCTGAGCGCCATATATTGGATGAGAGCCTGTGGATGCAGAAAGGCATACAATATGCCCAGTCGGGCCCCGCGCGCGTGTGTGCGTGCTCACTTGTCAATGGGTAGGCAGGGACATTGGGCGTGGGCAGCAAAGGCACCTGCACACACACAATGCCACCCCGACGATATATATCTCTCTCTCCCACCCTCTCTCTCTCTCTCTCTCCCTCCCTCTCTCTTTCTGGCATACCTGTTGCTGCTCCTGCTGCTGCTGCGAATGGGCGGTGTCCTGACGAGCACACACATACCATCTGCGCACTACAGTGCGTCTGCACATCGTGGTGGGTGCGTACCTCCGTGTGTGGCGGTGGTGGCGGTGGTGGTGGTGAGGTCAGTTTGCTCAGCAGATGGCAGTGCATGTCAATCGCTGGCAGAGAGTGCTGCCATAGTGGCCAGAGAGACAGGAAGAGAGTGTGTATCGGTGTCGGTGTGCTGTGCGCGAGTGTGTGTGTACCGACCTCTATCCGTTCGTTGAACCCATCGTTGGCACAGCTCGCCGCACTCTCCGTCTCATACACAATCACCTACACGACCACACACACAGAGAGAGACACACACAGACACACAGACACAGACAAATGTGTGCAAACCACACACAGATGTGCACTTACGTAGCAGTGGGGTGCGATTCTCTCGACAGCACAGATCGGTCCGTAGTGCAACGACACCTACACACACACACACACACACACACAGACCCGGAGACAGAATGCTTGCAATAAGTGCCACACACCCCACACTGATGCACACACACGGACCTTCCTGATGTCGCCTTCGGTCACCTCCACACAGTCGATGGACTCACCTGCACACACACACACACACACACATGCACACGCCCCCACGTGTGATGGTGTGACCGTGTCCATCCCACCGCTGACATAGAGCACCACTGCGCGATTGGCATACTGCGGATGGGTCTGGGTGTAGGCCGCCAGCTGCACACACAATGAACGAGACGAGTACCCTTCATGTTTGTCGTTCATTGTGTCCAATTCGTCGTCGCATCTTTCGCGTGCCTGTGGTATGAGCCGTATCAGCTCGAGGTGATGCTCGGCTGTCGACTCGTCCTCATACCACTCTACACACACACACAGAGAGAGAGAAGGTACCCAGACATTCCTGCCTGCCTGCCTCCCTCCCTCGTGTGTGTCGTCCCTCTCCTCTCTCACTGTGTGTGTGCGTGTACCGACCGACTCACCGTTGTCATCATGTGGGTCATCTCCCCATGGCCCACTGGTGTCTTGGTCGTCGTATAGACACCTGTGAAGGCACACACAGCAGTGGATGGATGGATGGATGGATGGATGGATGGGCGGGTGCCCACAGACACACGTAAGTAACACACGTAAGTAACACGTACGTGGGCGTGTGCAGCGGCAGCAACTCCTCGCTCTCATCCCCAGCCACCTACACAGACCACAGACACACACAAGTCACCTCCACGCCCACAATGACAAACAAGCTGACGTACCTGCACATTCGGTGGACGCAGCACACCCCCCTGCACACACACACACACACACACACACACACGTGAGTACGCAGCAGAGGGCGTGCGTGCGACCATGCACTGCTTTGTTTGCGTGTCGGCGTGACTGGACTCTATACCGGCGGGCGGCTGTCAGCCATACGGATGGTATGTGTCGGTGTGAATCAACCCAATCAATGAATCAATCTGATAAAGGCACACATGGACTCAATCAATCATCTGTATGCTCACACACCCATCGTAGTCAGTCTACCTGATGCGGTCAGTCAGTGTGACAGACAGGCAGACAGGCAGTCAGACAGACAGACAGGCAGTCAATCAAATCAATCAATCGACACCTGTGGGTGACACGCACAGCAGCACACAGCAGGCAGGCCATCGAAGCACACGAAGCGAAGCCTACCCCAGTGCTTTGCTTACATACCAGCAGCATCATGTGATCCAAGCAACAGCACTAGCAGCAGCACGCCAGCATCATCATCATCATGTGTTGGCAAGGAAGCTGTTGTCGCGTAGACACTGCCTCACGTCAATGGCAGTAACGGCGCCACCATTTCCTTCTCCTCATTCGGTCTCCTTTGCGAGATCAGACTACAGCTCGCATCTCTCTCAGACAGATCTTGCCTGCATCTCCTTTGCGTGTTCCCTGCTGTGCAAAGGGCGCACTCAGGCAGGTCGATCTGAGGCAGATCTTCCTCTGTCTGCGAAATGAAGCAAGCCCTTCTAGTACTGATGGCTGTGTGCGCGTGGACGCGGCTTGCCCATGCGCTCATCACGGGCACATCGCCTTATCACAGTGGGATGAGGACCGTCAGCCCTCACACACACAGGGGGAGCAGTCTTAGGAGGCAGCAGGTGCGTGCAGACAAAGGAGAATAGAGGCTCCTATTGTGCGTGTGTGTTGGTGCGTGCGCAGGCAGTGACAATGCTCGCAGAAAAGGACATCGATCTGCAGGTCATGGATGCACCCACTGCCCGTCAGATCTGTCTTATGTTATGACACAATCGTGTGTGTGTACCTGACTGCTCAACACAGGTGCTCAAGAACCAGGCAGGGGCGGCCACCAAGGTAAACAATCCCTGCGCACATCGACATGACAACATACACAGGGAGGGAGAGCACATGTCATGTGTGTGTGCGTGTTCGTCGACGTTCAGGCCAAGACCCTCTCTGACTCGACGAGAGGTGCGCGCAGCCTCGTCAGACAGACAGACAGACAGACAGACAGATAGACGAACAAACAGAGAGGGAAAGAGATTCACTGCGCTGAAGAACTTACAAATGTCGATTCTTTCTCTCCATATATGTGTGCAGCCTTTTACTCTTTGTGGGGCGCCATTCCCATCATGGAGCCCTACCGCCGTGTGGTCGACGAGCTCCTCACTGCAGCGCACTTCGCCAAAGTCGACGTCCGTTTCACATACGGTCAGTGACTCACTCATTCCATAGCTGCGCATGTCTGTGTCTGCCTTTCGGCGCGCTCTCGTGTGCGTGTTCGTCTGTGTGTCTGCCCGTCTATGTGTGTGTGCGTGCTGTGTGTAGATCCCATCTTTGCACTGGGCTTCGCGACAGTATTCGACAGGCTGACAGTAAGCCCGGCCGCTCGCACAACCAACACCTCAGATGCCCAATACACACATGTGCTTGTGTCGGTGTGTCTGTGTGTCCGTGTGTGAAGGATGGCTACCCACCAGGAGAGTCAGAGAAGCAGCGGCTCTTCGACTGCCTTGCAAAGGCGGTTGATGAAGTGAGTGGGTGGGAGGACGGGTGTACAGAGGTCCGCATGGACTCATGGTGGTGTATGGGCGTCTCGTCTGTGTGTCCCTACATGTGCTGGACAGGACCCCAGTAAGATGCGCGGAGACGCCCAGAAGCTCAAAGAATGGGTCACAGGTACGTACGTCACGTGCCGATACACAGGCGCACACGCACGCATACACGCAGAAGGTCTCTCCCTCTCTCTTTGTGTGGGATAGGCAAGGGGGGCTCTTCAGAGATACTCTCGGCCTTCAATGCGGCCAAGCCTGGCGACAAGGGCATTGAGGTGAGTGAGTTGACGTGATTCCATCCACCCCGCCCACAACGAGTATACAACACGGTGTGTGTGTCTGTTGTGTGTGGTGTGTGTTGTCAGGGGACGATTGAGTCGATCAAGGCGAATCCCTTGTGGCTGTACAACCGCGTCTGGGGCGTGTAAGTGACTTAAGTGACTCTACCTACCGCACTCAAGCCAAGCCCCGTGCATCCACCCACCTGAGTCTGTGTGTGCGTCATTTAGGGGCCTGTACACAATGATGGAGATGGCCAACACCGAAGTGACACAGGGTGCGCACAAAGCCACACACAAAGCCACACACAGAGGGAGGGAGGGAGAGAGAGAGAGAGAGATGGATGGCATGTCTGTGTGCCTCATGGCGTCGAACAATCAGAGTCCGTTACCGAGTGGATGAGCGCTCTCGACTGCAACTACAAATTCGGCGGACCAAAGTAAGTCGCTCGTCACGGACAGACAGACAGACAGACACACTTAGACTGTGTGCTCACAGTCAGTGTGTGCGTGTGTGATGTGACACATCACAGGAAGTGCTTTACCGATTACACGGTGTGGTCGGCCAACCTGCAACGGCTCAGAGAGGTAACCACCCACTCCTCCATACCATAAACACGATGTGTGCCATGGTGCCATCTGTCTGTCTGTCTGTCTGATGATCGACCTCAGGTCCAGAAGGTCTTCAAAGAGATGGAGATCCGCCGCAAGAAAGACCTCGCCGAAAAACTCGAAGCGCGCGGTGAGCAAATGCACGCCCACGCGTCCATCCATCCATCCATCAATGCGTCTCTCCGTCCTCTCTTTCTGTCTGCCTGTGTGTGTGTGTGTGTGTGTGTGTGCAGCCAAGGAGCTTCAGGAGAAGGAGTCCAAGCTGGGCGAACCTGCCACAGCCGCATCAACCAGCCAAGAGCCGGCTCCCGTTGCTTCAGGCAGCGAATCCTCCTAGACAGACAGCACAGGGTAGATACCGAATGGATGGATGCGTGTGATGCGTGTGATGCGTGGGCGTATGACGTGCGCATTCACACGAGAGATTTTTCCCTTCTCATGTGAGAGTGAGTGTTTTAGAGAGAGCGGAGAGGGATGCTGGCTCTCGCTGTGTGTGTGTGTGTGTGTGGTGTTCTGAGAGTGTACGCGTAAGTGGTGTCCTTCCTACGACAGACCAACGAACGAACCAGCGGACGAGAGACATTTGCATCCATCCATGACGAGTGATTGACTGAATGCAATGGGCTGGTTGGAGTGCTTGATTGATGCGGCATGGCTATGTGGTGCGCCTGCCGGTACTTGTCCCTCTGGCGTGTTCGTTCCCTCTCTCTGCCAACACGGTCATTCACACGTCAGCATCATGCAGCCCCCGGTCGTCCGCCGATCTGTACAGCTACCCAGTCAGTCATCCACACACAGACACAGACACACATATGCAGCTGTGCTATGCAATGAATGAATGTCGTCAGCTAAGAACGGCCCCACTGCCCGTCCGCTATGATCCATCACACACAGTAGCCGGCCCGACAGACCACCACCAATCTGCATACACACAGAGGAGACACGAACATGGTCACGCAATCAGAACTCCGTGTGAATGAGTGCCATTCCCTTACCGTCATGCACTGCGACTGACAGTCATGACGGTGAAGTGTGACCCACGGTGCTCGTGTGTGATTGTGAAGGCACCGATGTTGGTGCCGCCAGGGAGGGAGGCGCCGATGGAAGCACCCTGCTGGTAGTCGGTATTGCGGATTATCAGATACACGCGCTGGAGGCCTCTGATGCGCGAGACCACCGACGAGAAGCCGGTGCGGACGAAGCTGCCCGCCTCCTCCACATCGTCAGGCACTGAAGGGGAGAGAACACACACAAGGCAGCAATGAGGACGGACAGAGGGACACAAATGTCCTCTTCTCTCGGCGTACATGTCACATCGAATAATAAGTCTAGTGCCTTTATCGTAGGCAATCTGTTGGCCGCCCCCACTAACTGGTCCACACCGCCCTCAAACTCCCCCATATTCATCCAACCCACCTCCCTCTCCCTCCCCAGTGCCTCCAACACGCCCACCTTCTCATCACCCGACACCTCGCCGATGTCCACGTCCCCCACCTCCTTGGGCATCTTTGCCGCCAGCAGCCGCCCGGCAGCACCACCCAGGTCGCTCTCGACACACAGCCGTGAGGCTTTCGGGAATTGCTGTAGGTGTGTGACGATAGCGGGAAGGGGCGCTGCGGTATTGGCCGGGGGATCGAAGCCGTCGGCGTTCATGACCAGCACATCCGTGGCCTTGTCGAATGAGAGTGTCTTGGCCATCTCGATGGCCGATTGGCTCGGCTTGTCGTACGGGTCGGTGAGGCCGTCCTGGGTGAAGATGTACTGCACACACCAAGCCTGCCGGGCCAGCTGCTGCATCATGGTCTTGAATGAGGGTGAGGGGCGGGCGGGGAAGTCGGCCTGGTAGAAGATGGCGAGGTCGAACTCGAGATGGCCAATGGCGGTCAGCGTGAGTGGGGCGTCCGGTCGGCAGCACGCGCCGACCAGCCGGTCCACGGCCAGCAGAGTGGGCAGGGTGCGGCGGCCGATGCGGTAGAAGGAACTGAGCTCCACGTGCAGCTGCTTAAGCGACCGTCGACAGCCACGCGCCACGAGCACAGCCTGAAGGCGACAACAAACACATAGAGGAAGAACATCATGAGCCAACCCACACACGCGACGCTGAACATGAACGTCTTTTGTGGTCACCTGAAGCCGATCTATGCCCGCCGCCTCATCGTCACCTCTGATCTTGATGGTGTCGATGCTCTCCAGCTGTGCGAGTGGCCCTCCCCGCTGCCCAGCAGGTGCCGCAGGGATGCCCTCAAACACACCCGCCCAGTCCTCCCCCCTAAGGCTACCGCCCACACGCCGCAGTGAGCGGGACGAGCTGATGAAGCGGCCCACTCTGTCGGCACCCCATGTCTCGTGCTGCTGCACGGTGGTGAGTGAGGGCATCCGCCGGCGTCGGTCGGCCAGCCCGTGATGGTCGCGGGTCAGACCATCAATGGTGGTGAGCGCGTGGAGGGTGGGAGGCGGGTCGAGAAGAGCTGGGAGGGGCGGACGAGTCCTCGAGAGGGTCTGCATCTCCGTGTTGGTCAGACGAACCCCTCTTTGGAGGGTGATTGTCTCCAGAGTCCCGCCGCCCAGGTCGGCTGCCCGTCGGCCAGCGATATGACCCTCGATGATGGCCACAAACACGTCGAAACACCAGCAGAAGACACCGGTAAAGCCGGTGGGGTAGTGGAGGGTGATGGCTGTGAGGTGGGTGAGTCGGGCCGCCAGCTGGGTGACGAAGGCGAGACGGACGTGCTGCCAAAAGGACCGCTCCTCCTTGGTTGCCGAGCTGATGGTGACGTCCGAGAGCTCGGGTGCGGCGTGCTGCCAGATGGACTTGGCCAGCTGCACCATCAGGTTGATGGGCAGGAAGGCCATCATGTAGCTGAGAAGCCCCTCCTGAAGTACAGCCACACAGCACACGGGACGGCAGAGGATATCCATCAGTGTGTATGCCCTCAGTGCGTCGGTGGCTGGCTCACCGTGTCACTGATCTCCTTGCGCAAGGGCCTTTCCCTCTCCTCCCGTCGCTGCCGCACCTCGTCACTCTCGCCACCACCACCACCTCCAGCAGATGCAGCCGCAGCCGCAGCCGGCGCGTCCTCACTGTGACGGGTCCTCTTGCCCTGCACACACATACCCAACCCAAACACGGCCGTCCATTGCCAGCGGTGCTGTGATGCGCTCACCTGTCTATCTCCCTCCTCCATTGCTGCTGTAGATCTGACTCAGCGGCTGCGATGAGAACTCCAATGCCTTCTCTGAGGCCGCAGCTAATTGACCGATGCTCACGGTCCCTCCCTGCGCAAACACACACAGCACATGAGGGCGGCACCGATGGCGAATTCGCCTGTTCCCTGTCTGGCTACCTCAGGAAGGACAAAAGCGACGATTCTTCTCAGTCAACTCATCGATATGAGGCGCAGCAACCACAAGACGGCGCCTCGGCCACCCCTCGATGCTGCACAGCCTCGCTCCTTTCCGGAAGACAGGTCTCTCCAATCTCTCTCTCTGATCGCGAGCTTAAACAGTATCGAACCGACAACGGGGAAGGGGGCTTTTTTCACGTGTTTGGCGACGGGAGGTGCCTGTGAGAAGCGCCATTATCGGCTGAGAGGTTATCGTTCATCTTGGCCGATGAGATCTCAGCATGTCATCCTCTCGCCCCTCTTGGCAGCCCCGTTCAGCCTCCCCGGCCGTCGACGACATCGATGCCATTCTCCGAGCATTATCAGCAGCAGCTATGCCTTCGAGTAACTGTCACTGATGTGTTGGATTTGGCGGCCTCGACAGATCAAGATCCCGCCGCCAGCCCATCTAAGTGGGCTGAGTTGGGCTGAGAGAGGATCAGACCTGGGCATGACGCTGCAAGTTGGAATATAAGCACCGAGGATGAGTCAGTGGCCTTCTGTGCGGTGCTGTCCTTCTCGTCCCGGTGCCTCTCCTGGCAGCAAGATGGCCTCTGTATCGCCCTGTCGGCCTGGAGTTCGCTGCTGTCGAGTGCATCTATGACTTTTCAGAGTTCGTCAACATCTCGGGCTACATGACCCCTTCCCGCACTCTTCATCGCCGGTAGGCCACCGGCACACACAGAGGGTGCCCAGCGACACGCTCATTCATCGCGTGTGTGTGCGTCTGTGTCAGTTCGGACCGGTGTGGTTCGTGCGTTCAACGACCGTTACCTGGGAATGAGCGAGACGGAGAAGGTCGCCCTCCAAGTGCACCCAGGTCAGTGTGGTGGGTCAGTCCACCCACCGCATGGCTATACACACCTGCTGTGTGTTGTCTGTCCTCTTCAGGGGCCCCGCCGCCCACGCCCTTGACGGAGCTGTTTGAGGATGTGCACATTCTGATTTTCATCGTGATGGCGCTCTTCATTCTCAACACGGCCATCCTGTTGGTCGTCGGCCACCTGACGTGCCGCCGCTGGGACTTCCTCTCTGGCCTCACCCGCAACGACCTCTCCCAGCAGATCCAGGCACTGCCCAGCGGCTCCGAGAATTTCCTCTCACTATCCGCAAGACAGTCACCTTCGGCACACAGGAGGCCGAGCTCGACAACGCCCTCTCCTTCTTCGGCCTCCGCGAACGGTTCCACGGCAGACACACCAACATCTTCGTCAAGACGCCGGACGAGAAGGAAATCACATTCTCACAATACCTCCGAGGCACAACAGAGACACACACAGACACTGACGGGGGAGGGCTGGCTGGATGGATGGATGTGTGTGTGTGTGTGTGTGTGCAGCTCGTGTGGGCCACACCGTCGTCGAGTTCATCGAGCTGCCGACATCGATGCTCATCACAGTCATCGCTATCGCCATCACCGCCCGACCCCTCCTCGTCAGCAACACAAGTCGACACACACAGCATGACTTGACGTCACATGGACGGATGGACGGATGTGTGTGTGCAGGAGTTGTCTGGTGTTCCGTCGGTGACACTGATGGTGGTGTTGGCCTTTGCGCTGCTGGCGGCCGCCTCGGCCCTCCACCTCTCATTCTACCGCACCTTCGACGTAATAATGCGCACACTCAACACAAGACAAGACAACACAACACAACACAAACAGGACAACACATGACCCCTCTCTCTGTTGTCTCCTCCATCTGTCTGTCTGTCTGTCTGGGTTAGTATTACCACCGCCCCGACAAGACGCGTCTCAAGAACTGGATCACTTCGGACGTCGCCGAGCCCGACCAGACCGGCAAGGACACACACACACACACAGAGAGACAGAGGGATGATGCTCACACAGCCATATCTCTCTCTCTGTGTGGTGTGTTGGATGCAGTGTTTGTGTCTCGGCTCGACGAGGAGCGTCCGGTCATTTCCCACTGGCTGTGCGGCAAGGTCAACCGGACGGCGGCCGTCTTGCCTCTGGCGTCCGTCAAGGCGACGACCTTCTTGGTCCAGCTGACGCTCTTCCTGCTGTCAGCCTACACGGCTCTGCTGCTCAAGGCCGTCATCAGCACGTCCCACGGCAGCCGTGGCCTGTGGTGGTTCAACGGGCTGTGGGCCTACCCGCTGACATTTCTGCCGGTGGGGCTGAGTGCAATGGTGCTGGCGAGTGCAGTGGGGCTCTTCACGATGATCACCTCGCTGGACTTCCTCACCGACACAGACACCATCGACACGCTCATGGCTGACATCGACGCGCAGCGGCTCGCCCGGCAGACACAGATACTCGCCTTCATCCGAAACAAAGCCAACACGGCCGCCAAAGAGGACCGAAACAAACGGGCCCGGTCAGTTGCAGTGCACCAGAGCGAGAGAGGGAGAGGGAATATGTGTGCTTGTGTGTGTTGATAATGTGTGTGCAGTGCTGTGAGCTACTTCGAGCGTCTGCCGCGTGACGTGCAGGACGCCGTGGTGAGTGCCTTCGCCGCACTCAGCGACACTCGAGACGGTCAGCCACCCGACACACAGAAATAGGTGGACGGATCAGTGGATGGCCCCTTTGTGTGTGTGTGTGTGTGTGCTGCAGAGAGTGGCGGCATGGACCTGGAGGGCTTCTACGAGACGGTGCGGTCGTTCGGCCTCGCAAAGACATCGCCAGACGCCAAGTCAGTGACCAACCAAGACACACACAACCAGCTCCAACTCTGTGTGTGTGTGTGTGCAGGTACTATGCTCGTGTGCTGTTCGAGACGGTCGACGACGACCGATCGGGCAAACTGGAGCTGAGAGTGAGCCAAACAGACACACATCCACCTCTTGCGTGAGTGCATCCGTTGTCCGGTCACTAACCAGGAGTTTCAGACCGTCTTCGTCATGGCCTTCTTCGACTATGAAGGCACAACACCAAAGACACACACACTGACGTCACACACGTGTGGATGCCTGCCTGTCTGTCTGTCTCTCTCTCTGTGTGTTTCAAATGTAAAGATCCGTCGACCAGAGCCGAGCGCGAGAAAGGTGCGCTGCGCGTCTTCTTCGACTCGATCGACGCCGACCGCTCGGGCGAAATCTCCATCGACGAACTCGCCAAGGTCTGTGACACACACACATGGATGGATGGATGGATGGATGTGTGTGTGTGTGTGTGTTGGATTGGTGAAGGGTTTGAGTGAGTTGCGTCCGCCCGTGACGGCGAGTGAGCTGACAGACCTCATGGCCGCCGTCACATCAGAGGAACAAGGCATGCAGTGCATCGCAACCACTCATCCAAAGACACATCAGGCAGTGTGTGTGTCGGTTCAGTCAAGGTTGACGTCCTGACGGAGTTCGTGCAGCGTGTGGCCAAGAAGGACGAAATGCTACACGGAGGTCAGCCAAACAAACAAAGAGCCAAATGGACATTACAACTCATTCATCCACCGTGTGTGTGTGTGTGTGTGTGTGTGTGGTGGCAGCAGGCCACTGAATTGACCGAGCGGCTGGTGAATGAGGTGGAGTGAGTGGACTCGATGAGACAGACAGACAGACTCGGGATGATTGACCAACAGACGAGGGAGCCGACGCACTGATGGACTGACTGACTGACTGACAAACACACTGATGACCGACACGGCAATCGATTGAATGAATGCTTCGCTGCATATCAAAGTCCACATGTATACACGCACACATGCTGAAGGCCCACATGAATACAGAGAGGGAGCCGCACCCATGTACACACGCGTTGGCTGCTCCACCGGGACAGAAAGAGATGTGAATGAATGCATCCACACGTATCGATCCCGTGGACAACGAGCGGTCTGTCTGTCTGTCTTTGTGTCTGTCTGTCTGAAGGGGCAACGACTGTGAAACACATGCAACAGCACATATGTCGCGCACAGACAGTTACAATGCAGTCACGCAGTCGAAAATCAATCGCCCACCCACCCCCATGCACCCCGATCACAACACGTCTGCACTGTTGTGGGCCGGCATGACACCACCGCCCAACCTGACACACGGAGGATATAGAAGTGCGTGCGTGCGCATCTTCTGCTCGTGTCAGTCGTGTTTGGTGCACACCTCAGCTGTTTATTGGCCGAAGACCATGGCTGAGATGATGGTACCCAGCACCACACGCGCCAGCCGAGTCGTCTGAGGGAAGCGGTCCTTGAAGGCACCGCCCACACCAGACACAGCCGGCTCGGTCGTGTGGACCCACACAATCACTGCAAACGAATGACAGGAAAGCACAGCAGACGAGAGTGAGTGCTGTGTGTGTCTTGTGTGTGTGCTTTTCCCCCTCCCTCCCCCCCCCTCGCTGTGCCGTGCTGGGCTGACCGAAGTTGTGAATGGGCTGACCGAAGTTGTAAAAGGAGGCTTCGACGATGTAGATCCATGCCACGAACGAGTGGCTTGCGCCGGTCAGGACGAGACTACGAGAAGTGAAGCCGGCAGTGGTGCGGTATGATGTGGTGGTGGTGCATCCGGCGACTGGTGTGTGGGGGGACTGTGTCAGCAGGGTGTCCAGCCGGTTGTTGTCGACATGCCTGACACACACACACATAACATACACACTCGTCTGTCGTGGCAAAGTACACACAGAGTGATGCCCCGCCTCACCTGTGGATAGTACGCCTAGTGAAGTTGATCTGGTGAGTCACCTCGAAGTGTTTGATGACGATGTTCTTGACACACGACGACACAGATGAGTAGGCCAGAGGCCTGGACAAACTCATGTGCCAGCCCAAGGCCGGGACAAATGTGATCCTGCTGCGGACGGGCGGGTTGTGCTGCTGTCGGTGCTGCTGGTAGGGGTGGTTGGCAGGGAGGGGCGGGTTGATGTCCATCTCGAAGCCGTCCTGGTCCTTGACGGCCCGCAGTGTGTTGCCGTGGTGGAACAGCTGGAAGGTCACCCCGTTGCCGAAGTCGATGTGGCGGCCGACCATCTTGAGCTGAGCCAACACACGGGGATCGGCCAAATACGCCTGCACACACCACACACACACCCATTGAGAGCCATTGTCTCTGCCTCCCTCCCTCCCTCCCTCCCTCGGTTGGCTTACCGTCTTGTTTGGGTATCGGTGCAGATCGGTCGCCGTGAGCCTCACAGGCAGCTGGCAGCGGCCGCACTGCCCCGCCAGCTCAATGACCTCGCTCATCTCACTTCAGCCGCCCGCCTCCGTCACACACAGCGCCGCCAGCAGGTCACCCACACCCATCTGCTGCTCGTCGAATGTCAGGAGCTGCTGTCCGTTGGCAGTCCGCCGCGGCCCCGCCTGTGTGCAGAGCGAATGGCTGAGTCGCTGCCGCAGCTGAAGCGCTCCGAAGAGCTCTTTGAGCCATCTGCAGATCTTCCTCAGCCGCAGGATGTCATTGAGGCTGAGAAGGTAGAAGGTGCGGCGGCCGAGAAAGATGTACACGAAGGGATGCTGCTCCTGATTCTGGCTTTGCTGCTCCTGCTGCTGGTCGGCCTGCTGCTGGTCGGTCTGCTGCTGAGGGTGCTGCATCGCCGTCAGATCTGCCGAGAGGGCAGAGCGGATGAGTGAGAGAGAGTGAAGAGGGCGGGGCGGGAAGGCAATGCCAATGATGCCCTCGCAACGGAAAGGCCGTTTTTCGCGATGCCTCAACCGGCAGCGCGAGCTCAGAAATTAGAATCAACACCTTTTCTGCGGTATGGATGCCGTTGAGAGTCTGAAGGAGCTGCGCCGGCGTCCGCAGGCTTGGCATGACTCGAACGCTTCACTGCAGAACACCCCCAAGGCCTCACCAGGTGTGCCCCCTCCCGCCCTCATGGCCGGTCTCGCTACGCCCAAGAGCCATCAGTGGGAGCCGTGCTTGAGCGGCAGAAGCGACAGGAGTGAGAGAGGCGCCAGGGCAGCAGCAGCAGTTGCGACGAATGGCGATGCGACATCGAGTGGCTCACACGGGTCTGGGCAGGGGCAGTTTGGCGTTCTGGAGAGGAAAATAGTGCAGAACCAACAAGCGAGTGAGCGATGAATATTGCAAAGCGTCCACATGCATGAGTGTCCCTTCCCTTTTCTTGTGTGTGTGTGGTATCAGTACGGGAGGTGGTCAAGCTGTGTGAGAAGCTCCTCACGTCATACCAGGCCGCCCACGCCCCTGTCTCGCCCTCCAGTACCACGCCGGAAGCAGCTGACTGCCGTCTGTCGGCTATTGAGGAGAAGGTGCAACAGCTGAACACCAAGCTCGTCGACATGGCCAAGGGTAAGGCAGCAGCAGACATGTCGACTTGCGGAGCAGGGGTGCGTTTGTCTGTCTCGTGTCCTGCCATCGATCGACACAGACCTGCGCGACGGACTGGAGGAGACTTCATCCATTGCAGATGCAGCACGACAGAAGGCCGACCATCTCAGCAGACGATTAGAAGGTATTGCCGCACACGAGAGACGACAACTCTCCTGCGTGAGAAGTCGTCACTTCGCTGTTTCCTCAGAGAGCCCGTGTGTCGCCGCATCTTCGAACAACGCCCAATCCGCTGCTTGTGCAAAGGAGCCCCCTGCTGATGTCGCCTGTCTCCGTCATGCACTCGATCAGCAACGAGCGGAGTCCTACGCGAGACTCGAAAAGACCGTCGATACACTGCAGAGACGAGTCCAGAACCAGGAGAGAGAGATGCAGAGGAGATCTGCCTGCACAGGTTGGCAGGGAGGCTCGGGCAATGTTCATTCGGTGACGATGGGGCTTTTTTTTCAGAAACGTACGGAACGCTGCCGGCGGTGGACGGTGCACCGGATAAGGCGTGCAGCTTATCCGAACTAAGAGGTGTGGTGGACGGCCTTCTAGAGAGCAACAAGGACCTACTGACAAGACAGCAGCAGCTGACAGACGGTAAGAACTATCCACTTATAATGCAGATGGCAGACAGACCACACACGCCCGTGTCTCTCGATCCGCCAGAAGTGCACTCGGCCAAGGCGGCGGCGATGAAGGCCATCAAGCGCGTCAACGATTTCTCGGTCGAGCTCGCCAGCCTCCTCATGACCCCCCACCATCCCACCCACACCTCGCCCCGCTGCCTCCCGCCCCTCTCCTCATTGATCAAGAGGGCCGCAGAAACGTCGCCGAGGGAATGGGCCCTCTCGCGGCCGACAACGGTCGATTTGTCGGATGCTGAGAGGCGCGGAAATCATGCTGGCAGCAGCAGGACTACCACCATCGAGGACGAGAGGGATGATGGGGGCGTGGGCGGGAGGGGGAAGGGGACGCTCGTCAAGGCCATTCCTGTCATCCAGGCGCAGATATGGCAGATAAGGGGGGAGAGTTCGGCCACGCAGCAGCAGATGCACGGTACGCAGACAGGAAGGGAGACGGAGAGAAAACAAGATGTCCCGCCTGCATCTGTCTGTCCAGACATATCCACTTTGCTGACGTCATTGCGGGCGGAGGTCAAGTCAATGCGGGCGCAGCTGAGGACCCTCAACAACCGCCGACAGCTCGAGTCAAGAATGGCGGCGCCCACGAACTTGGAGACGGCGCGAGACAGGACTCTCCTCCTGTCGTCCAGAAGCAGCAATGCTGAATGGACTGCTGTCAGGAAGATGGTCGAAGGTCAGTGAGCTGAGCCGGTAGAGACAGCAGGGAACGTGCTAAGCTAAAGACACGATTTGTGTGCAGACCTGCACTCTGATGTGGAGGGTCTGAAGTCGATCAACCCCGAGATCAACGCCAGGCTCAACCGCATCGACTCCCAAATCGCAAGCATCAACGCCTCCAATACAGGCAGGCATCCAGTGGCACGCACACACAGATATAGCCATGCAAGCACCGGCATTTCTCTCTGTCATCAGGTCAGCGTGCCCACTCTGCGTCTCCGCCAGCCCCTACCGCAGCAGCAACTGAGGTGTCCAGCTTCAAGACTGAGATGACGCAGAAGCTCGACGCTGTCCGTATTCTGCTACGGGCTGTCGAGAGCGATGCCGAGAGAATCAAGAAGAGACAGGATGATATGGAACGCGCCATCGCGGCCAATATGGGCCCCAAAACGTGACCAGAGACACTGGATTTCCTTGCTGCTGCCACATGTATTGGCGCTTGCCATGCCATGGCCGACTTTTGCTGAGTGGTGGTGGTGGTGGTGGGCTGGGTCGTTGGCACTCATCGGATGATGGAGAGACGGCTGGCGTGTCTGTCTGTCTGCCTGTCTGCCTGTCTGTGTATCCATTTAGCAGCGTCTTGGCTCTTGTGCATGGTGTTTGAGGCGTGACGGGGCATGGGAGTGGGCGGAATGCGTATGCGACCAGAATGGCGGCTTCTTGTTGTATGGCGGTACGGGTACATGATATCGATTGATCGACGGCCATGCATGCCTCGCTTGTTGATGCGTTCAGACAAGGCGCGCACACTACACATCAACATACTTGTACTTGCAACGGTTGACCGTCATGGAAGAACCGATTCGCAGACGCGTGCTCTCTTGTGCACATGTGTGGTCATGTGCTCGTCCGCCTCATTGTCCTGCTCCGCAGCCGAGTGACTCAGCTCAGCTAGCGGAGAAGGACAATAAGACCGACGAACACATTACCACAACAAAACACAACACCACACAAGATACCTTCCGCTGTCTGCCCCACTGACTGACGGACTGCCCTTCCTTTTTTCCCCATCTAGATCTCCATTACACTTGTCGCAAGTGTGTCCGTCAGTGCGGCATGTGTCCCTCGCTGAGCTGCCAGATCACAGCGGCATGTATCCAACCATCGAGAGTAGTAGGTTGACCGCAGAGATGCGACCGATGATCGACACAGCCCACACACACAGACAGACCGCCCAGCCTATCTTCTGTACAATGCATGCATCGCCGGCTGGCAGAGAGAGAGAGAGCAGCACCACAAAGCAAGCTAAGCTCAAGCCACCTCTGGTCGCCGCATCCTTGCTATGTGACGATGCCGGTAGAGAACTCGAGGACCTTCTTCTCGGGTATCATGGCGATGTAGTCGCCACTGCTGATCGGCAGCAGGCCCATGTGGGCGCAGTGGTAGGAGATGTAGCCCAGAGCAGCCAGGTTGATCAGCACGTACACCAGCTTCTGCAGCATCACGTTCACCTTGGCCGTCTCGAACGACGCAAAGGCGGCGTTCAGACCGAACAGCGACTTGACCGTGTTGATGGCGCCGTAGCCCATGATGAGAATCGAGAAGATCCCAGGCGAGGAGCCGCCCATCCACAGCATAAAGATGGTCATCCCGATGGACTTGCCCGGCGCCAAGGCGGCCTCCCACGCTTTGCTCTCGACGATGCTGGCGTGCCGTGAGCTGCGCTCCCGAGTCTTCCTGGACGATAGTGTGGATCCCTCAGCCTCGCCGAGCGTCATGCGGTAGCCGATAGGGTCGGGCAGCGAGGTGCGGTTCTCAAACTGGAAATCCCACCTCTTGCCCAACATGGTGATGACCAGAGGGATAGATGAGCAACGTAAGGAGCCTCCGCTTCTTCCCGCTTTAGCTCGCAGATGCTTCAAGCTCGCATTCACCGAAAGGGGGCAGCAACGCTTTAAAGGCTTCGAGTGCCTCACTGTGAGGCACAGTCCATCGATTTGTGTCTGTGCTATCAAGATCTTGATAGATCAATGCGCTGCGAAGGAGCATGCTCTGTCTGAGAGGCTTCCAGGGCGGTGTGCTGGTGGCAGTGGTGCTCTTGCTGACGACCGGAGGACTCTCGCAGAAGACCGTCCCGTCGCTTCGCAGGTCTGCGGCTGCATTCGCTGCCCTGAGACCGGTCTCGCCGACACACCAGACACAAACCTTATCGGCTCCCTCGCAGCCTCAGCACTCATCCTCGTCCACTGCTCGGACGCCAGAACGACCCAGCTTCATCGCGGGAAGAAAGAATCGAGCCGTCGCCCAGTCAAGAATGGCAGCTCTGACGTCGCCTGTGGCCATCTGGGGTGTGCTGCTCGCCAACGGCATCGGCGGCTACTTTCTCGACAGCAAGTACTCGTGGGGCTCGCTCGTCAGCTTTGGTGTCCCCTTCCTGCTCAGCAACCTGGGCTTCATGCCTTCGACGCATCCTGCCTATGACTGGTGCTGGGGGCAGCTGCTGCCCATCACGATTGCACTGGTGCTGCTCGGGGCGCCGTCGCGGCTCTCTGGACCGAGCACCTGCCCTGCCAGCTGGGAGAAGATGCGCACGGTGGGGAGCGCCTACGCCCTCGGTGCTGTCACGACCGTTGTCGGCGGACTGCTGGCCTTCCTTGTGACGACTCGCATGCCGATAGCCTTCCTCAAGATGCCCGTCCACAGTGCGGCCCAGGCCGTGGGATGCCTCGCCGCCACTTACATCGGTAGGCGGGCAAACACGGGAAGGGAACGAGTCTTTCGTTGATCTGTTCGAATCTGTCTTGTGTGTCCGGCTTGGTGTGTGTAGGCGGGACTGTCAATTTCTTCGCCGTGGCGAACGCTGTGGGTCTGGGCAGTGGGGAAGGGAGCAGCAGCGCGCTGCTGGGAGGCCTCTGTGCCGCAGACATCTTCTTCATGGGATTCTACCTCGCCGGTGAGCAGGCAGAAGAGGTTAAAGGGAGGAATGCGCCCGGAAACACGTGGCGTGTTCGCCTTGGGCTCTTTGTGTCGTTCAGCGTTGAAGTATGCCCATGGATGGATCAAGCTGCGCAAGCTCTTCCCAGAGAGAGGTGGATGACACACACACACAGACAGACAGACAGAGAGAGAGAGAGAGAGAGGAACACCATACATCCTCTGTGTTTGTTCACTCAGAGGATGCATCAGCCATCAAGGCCAACGATTCCCCCTATTTGCTCAACGGCTACCATCCCGAGGAGGCCCCTGCCTCCATCGAGAAGACGCAAGTGCTCGTCGGCGCCCAAACCGCAAAGGCGCATCATCACGAGAACGGCCAGCCTGTGTCGGCAGTCAGCCGCAACGCTCCACTCGCCGGCAGCAACGTCCCCACATACGGCATTGCCACAGCAGCACCCACCCAGCACACAATCCCTTCTGTGAAGGACAAGCAGCAACACACAGGCTGGCGGCAGCGTGCGGGCAAGATGGCCTTCCGCGCGCTCGGCCTCATGGTGTCTTTGGGTCTGGCGTCAACTGTGCTGACGGTGAGCCCGGCAATCGAGAGGTGGGCGCGCCGCTACGTGCCCATCGACGGCCTCTCGACTTTCGTCATGGCTACTGTGGCCATCGGCCTGGCCACCATCCTCAAGCGACTGACGCTCAGCGGGCCGCCCCTCCTCGACCAGCTCTACACGGCGGCCGGGGAGAGCTCATCGCTACTGGCGGCTGTCGGGCTGCAGATCTTCTACGGCGGCATCGGGGCGACGGCGCGCTTCGCCGACTTGATGGGCGTCGAGTGCGCGGCAGCGCCGCTGGTGACCGGGCTGATCCTGCTGGTGCACACGATGGGTCTGTTCGGCATCTCGGCGCTGATCAACTCGATGCTGAAGCGGCTGCAGTTCCGGCTGCCTCTGGACGACCTCATTGTGGCGTCTAATGCCAATGTGGGCGGCCCCTCGACGGCGGCAGGGATGGCCGGGGGGTCGATGGGGCGCGACGACCTGGTGCTGCCGGCCATTGTGTACGGCACCGTGGGCTACGCCACGGCGACCTCTCTCGGCGTGGTGCTGTTTAGAAGACTGAGTGGGCTAGGGTGACTCGTCGATGACTGCTGAGTCGAGCCGGCTATAGGGGGTGTGTGTGGTTTGCAAATGAAGCAATTGGTCGATCAATGAGAGAGAGGGATTTTTCAACTTGATTCGATTTAGCTAATGAGAGTTGTTCGCAAGTCATTCGGTCGGTGTCTTTTCTGCCTGGGAGAGAGAGATCTTCTGTCATGACTGACCTGACGAGTGTCTCTCTTGTTGCCGTGTGTGGGGTCAGTGGTGTGTCTGCGAGATGCGAGAATGACATGAAACTAGACAGCCCAGACAGACAGACACACGATGGATTGACAACGACGATCGATTTTTAAGGCCATGTCGAGACGTACGAACGCTTCTGCAAGAGAACACACACACACACACACACCTCTGCCCCCTGCGCACACGCAGTTGATGGTCGGCGTGCGTGCGAATCACGGCGCGCACACTCAGACAGACACGAGTGAAAGCACAATGCGCTGATATCGTCCATGGCACGTAGCTAGCCGATCAGGAATGTTCTTTCAGAGTTATGTGTGTGCGTATGTGTACCTCTAATGTTAGTCGTGTCTCACACACGCACACAGAGTCGGCCGGCCAAGACACAGTCACACACGGGGCATACGAGAAAGGGTGTTGACCTCTGCTGCGCATCTCTAAGTCATCTGATTCTAACGGCGTCTGTCTGTCTGTCTGTCTGCGTGTCAGTCAGTGTCTTTCGCTCAGGACGAGAGGACTGCTGTCGCACTGTTCTTGCGGTGTGTGTCTTGTTGCCGTGTGTCGGGCCAGTGGTGTGTGTGTGTCTGCGTGTCTGTGAGATGCGAGAGTAATGAGCTGAGAGCAGACAGACGAGACAACACGCAGACAGACAGACAGACAGAGAGCGGATAGGATGCAATGACGACTGATTTTTAACGCCAAATTGAGACGTACGTATCTCATGCCGTCTCTATCTTGGGGAAAGCCGTGAGGGCTCCAGACTGGCCGGCGAGGCGGGGCCTGCTTCGGCACGCCACGTACTCGAAGCCTCCATTCTTAGCTGCAGCGAGGACAGCATGGAAACCAATTGTCTGCTCATCCGTCGACAGTCTTGTGTTGTGACATCACCCACCGACGGTGTAGTCGAGAGTGAAAGCGATGCACTCCTTATCGTGTACACACCTCACGGCAGCCTCTGCAACTGAACCCACCGACTACACACACATGGACACACGAGGGGACACAAAAGCATGAGACACCATCACGGGTAGTCGGTCACCGTCTGATCGAGGACGTCTGTCGGTGGGCAGCGGCCTTTCTTGTTGATGTACGTCTGGTAGCCAGCGGGCGACACTGTCACCAGAACCCCACACAAAACAGCGTCATCCCCTTTTTGCCAGCTATGGTTGCGTATGCGTGTCTCGTTCGCTCACCTGCTTGTGGCTTGACGTGAACCTCTGCCGACGTTGCGGGCCGTGCTTTGGTCCATGCCTCCCCCGCACAGTATTGGAACGCCTCGCCCTCGTGCAGAAAGAACTCACACGTTGGCGTCATGCGGCAGTGCTCTGCCGCCTGGTCAACCGTGCGGACCTGATGCATTCACGCAAAGAGACGCAAGAGACAGTGTCTTGGTGCACTTGTTTGTCGTGTGGTTCCGTGTACGTTGTTTGCGGGCGGTAGGACGTCCTCTGGCGCACAGTCAGCTGATCTGGATGAAAGAACCTGACGAGAGAAGAGAGACAAGGTTTGCTGTCCATCGTGTTTGCGGATGCGGCTCCATCGCTCCCTCCTTACCATGAATGGGGGCTCTCCGTCATTCTCAGGCAGCCTCTCCGCTGCCCTGTCTGCATCAAACCAACCAGGAAAGCCACAACACATCAATCGAGAGAGAGAGAAAATGGTCAATCCGGTTGCCCTTTGCCCACCGTATTGGACGTGTCGGCCTTCGTGGTCTGCCGCAAGACTGGTCTCGCCCTTGACGCCCCACTGGCAACCATATGCAACGGCGAGTGTCTTGGCTGCCCATGGGCAGGGGTCCTCCTTGAATGTCGTGGCCACATCGATGTCACACGAAGTCTTGCCGTCACACAGATCACGCAGGCGAGTGAGGGACGCTGGGAAGTGACAAGACCTGATGCAGACGTGAGGGAAGATGGTCACACGATGGACTCACAGCGTGTTGCCTGACTCACCCAGTGGCAAAGTATGGCGATGAATCGACTTTGGCGTTTCCGTAGCTGGCTCGGCTCACTGCAAACGACGAGCAACGCTCAAGCAAGGTCATCGCGACTGCTCTCTCTCACTTTGTCTGGCCATTCGCTTACCGCTGATCCTCAGATCCGACGGACACGCCAGATGCACGGCCTTGTCGGCGAACACGCCGCCATAGAGCGAGAGACCAGCGAAGGCCGCGCCATCTCTGTGCCGCTCTGCGATGATGCTTCCTCAGGCCTCAGGTCTGCCGACGTCAGCAGGGCGAAGGTGTTGTATGGGAGCTGGGCGGTGAACGGCGCGATACCGGCCAGGATGAGGGCGTCGTCGTGTGGACCTTGCGGCGGCCTGAGGGCATGGCGGTGTGAGGGCTTGGCGCTCCCAGACAGGGGCAGAAGTGCGGTGAGAATGCAAAACAACCCAAACATGATCGCCAGCTTTGCCATTCCGCGAGCTTTGCTGCGATCAGAAGTTGTGCCCAGAACCTGACACGAACCTTGTGCGGCAGAACCTTACACATGTGTGTATGTATGTAGATTCACAAGATAGATAGATAGATAGATAGATAGATGGATGAGAAGCGGCAGAAGGTGGAGGGCGGGAAGGCGGCGAGGCGGCCTGCGCTACCGACAGGTCGGCCCGTGGGTGCCTTCCAGCTGGAGATGATTCCAGGCAACCACTATGCATTTAAAACCTGGACGGTCGACGTGCAGCCTTCGTTTGAGGTACGGTTATGGTGGGGGGAAGTCATTCATCTACGCTGTCTGTGGTGGGATGGTGTGCACTGGCTGGCAGGTGTTTGATCTCGTGCTGCTGGTTCAGGAGAAGACCAGCGTGCCTGCCGCTGCCATATGGCTGTTACGTGGGACCACGCCTCTCTCTGTGCTGAACAACACCCTCAGCGACTACAACATTCAGAAGCACGACACCATCCGTAGCAACACTCGCTGGCACCTCATTCCAGGCGTTGGAGCGCAGCTCCCTGACACCGCCCGTCACGTCCGTCGGCTCACGCCGGAAGGCAAGACTACGAGGAATATGAATGATGCATCGTGTGGACATCTGTGTGTGTGTCCGTGTCCAGACGTGTCTCTTCCTTCGGAATCTGTGCGAGGGCCGTGGAAGGTGGGCGGTGCGGAGACTCGGATGCGCACACACGTGCATAGATCTATCTATCTATCTCTCTGCATGCTCGTCTGTGATGTGCAGGAGTTGGTGATTACGCCTTGTTCCTATGACCCCACACCGGCTTTCCCACGGGCGGACAAGTACAGTGACAATGCGGTCCGTCTGGCCACCGCACGCGCGGCAGCACAGGAAACGGTACGGACACACATACACACACACACACACACAGAGACCTTCCTCTAGCTCGCATATCACGGTGTGAGGAGAATTTCTCCTCACGTTGCCTGTGGTGGGCTGCGCAAGCGTCACCATCACGCCCACGTCATCGCGAGCTCCCCACCGATGTGCGGGTCGCCTCACCTCTCTCACAAACGAACAATGCAGCCATTCTACGTCGGCCGCGCTGGACCTGAGTTGCCCATGCAACAGGAATCAGCAGTCCATGTGCGTCCAATCGGCCTCTTTCTCTTGCTGCTCGCATGCGCCACCCGCTTCAGCCCCTTCTCAACCGAGCC